TGAGTAGTTTGAGGAATTGTTTGGTTTCTCGGAGCGTTGTTGACAGGATGTTGTACATTGTTATTCCATTTATTCTTAGAGGTTCGACTGTTATGAATAAAAGACAGTGTTGTTTTTTTACCATATGCGTGATTTGTATAACATACGTGATTAGAAACAGAACAGAAAACTACTTTTGATTTGAATTTGGAAAAGTTTGATAGCCTCCGTCTTGTCGCCTTCCTCCTTTTGGTCTCACTGCAGCTGAGGACATGTTCTCTTCAAATAAATGGTCGAGCATAAGAGTGCATTTCAATAAACGATCTAACAGGGTGAAAGCACGCTTTTGACTTACCAACACAAGTACAACAGCAAAGAAATCGGTCTTCAAAAATGTAAAATGATTTTTTAGATCTTTAAGATCAAGCTATAGATGTTGGGAAGGTTTAGGATGTAAAAGAATGAACTCGACACGGTTCACCAGTAAAACAAAGATTGGTTGCAAAAAGAATACAGTAGGTGTGAAAAAATTCAGATACCAACAGAAATGAATTGAAAGAATTCCTTTGGAGCTTTTGTTAAAGCTTTTTATTTGAATCTTACATTGTGCAACGTAGATTGAAGGATTGACAACGCAAAACGCAATTGATATAATTGATTAACTGATATGCTATCGTTATATGAAATACATATATACTTAATTATGATAAGAAATTTTTTTTTAATGCTTATTATATGTTATTATATGTTTAGATCCCTTAGGAAAACGAAATGTGAAATGTTATTGTTGAAAAGGGGTTTTAACAAACCATTTCTTATTATTTAATTAATTAATTATTTATTATTTTATTACTTTGTTCCTTCATTGAAAAATTTTTTAAATTGTATTATTATATTATACAGTATGTGGAATTTCAATTGTTATATAAAGTTTACTGCATAAAAAACCAACCTTTGCCTTAAATAACATTTAACCTAAATAACAATATTTTAATTGTTCTCAACCATATTGGAAGATTAACCAATATTTTGATAATAATCAAAATCTCGTAAGTAGAGCATTAAAAATTAAACTGGAAAAAATTACTTTCTGATTTTATTTCTGATGAAATTTACGCTTGGTCACGTGATTGAGCATTATTGACCATTAGATAATTGTTCATTGCACACCACATTAAAAGAGAAATTCACTTTTCGAACACCAACATGGAATTGCAGAAATTTGAGAATAGAAATATGTATATATATATATATGTGATTGATTTGAATTTTTTCTCCCGAAATGTCCTTTACAAAAAAAAAAAAAAAAAAAAAAAAAAATAGAAGAATAAACCGGCTTTACAAAAAAAATAAGAAAAAATAAGATTTTTTAGTCAAACAATTAATACTATAAAGTAATACTACGACCATACCACAGATTTTAGAGACTTGCAAAACATATAATATTTTATATGTTGATACAGTTTAACAAACCATACTCATTAGAACATAGCAGATTTTCTTCTGTCAGCGGCCGATTTACTTCGCCTTTCAGCAGCAGCCGCGTATAATTTATTAACAGCCTTACGACGAATGCGAGTGGCAAAATTCTTAGCCATATCAGGGCCTTTTGGTTGACGTATTGGAAGCACTGCGTCAGGGTGCACTTTCATTGCTCCTCCAAACACGCTATAAGAATAATAATAATTAATCAGAAATGTTTAATTTAAAAACAGAGATTTCTCTGAAAAGATGATCGCGTTAATTTGACCATAAAAGATAAATCTCCCTCATAAATATAATCAAGAATCATCAACTTTACCTCCTACGTCTCCCTTCCTTTATGGAAGATGAAATTGAACTTTGACGCGTCTGTTGAGGCGATGTTCCTGTGGGAGTTTGAGGTGGATAATCCTGTTGTGAATAGTCGTAGTAGTAATAAACATATTGACTTTCCTCGGCCTCCTCTTCGTATTGCATGGGGTACAAATCGTAAATGTCTGAACCAGCGAACCCTTCGGGAGGTCCGTAACCGGGAGTCGGTGGCGCTGATCCTGATCCCTGAGAATCGGAATCCTCGGGATGACTTAGAACCACAACTGGTGTACCTGGACCAACTTGACGATAGTCTGTTGTAACAAATCTAACAGGGGCGGGTGCGTTGCTGTAATGTCTAAAGCGAGACTGTTCCACAGCCTGAATATAGGCTGGCTCGCCATAAACGTATGCATAGGTAGGTTGAGGAATAGTGGCAGATTGAGGCACTCTAATAGCCTGTCTAATGTCTTTCGGGAATCCTGACTTTGGTGGAAAAGTAGCAGTCTTAGGTGGATTTGGAAGGTTTAGAGCTCGGTTCACCTTCGGTGGAAACGTTGCTGTTTGAGGAACCCTCCCTAAATTTGGAACTTGGGAGGACGACTTTGACAAGTTAAGCGGCTTTGGTGTATGTTTAGCTGAACTGGCTGATTTTTGTTTTGATGATGCAGCAACATTATTAATGTCCTTTGGAGGACTCCCAGACAAATTATAAGTATGTGGAGGAGAATTTGAAATGAGCACAGTCTGTGGAGGTGAGGACTTCGATAGATTTATTTGCTGTTGTTGGACAGATTTTGCAATCTTCGGTGGCATGGCATATACTTGTTGCTGGTTTTGTTGGTTTGGTCTAGGAAACTGTGCAGTTTTTGGAGTTCGAAGAGGTTGTGCTCCAGCCGTCTTTGAAATTGTATTCGTATTTTGGGCACGTTCCGTGTTAATAGATTTTAAGTTAACAGGTCCGGATTTACTACTATTGCTATCCCTCCGTTTACCCTGGTCACCGTTTGAGCTATTGGTGTTCTTCCAGGATTGATTGGACGGTTGATGTTGAACTTGCACACCGCCGGCGTCCATGATTTATAGTTTATTATAATACAGGAAATTTGTAATTTTTAAGGCGTTCTTTAAATTATTAATGTGTAAAGAATTACTTGTTTTGATACAAAGGACTTTTTTTTTTTTGCGTGTTGACTATTTTGTAAAGATTTAATTAATTACAGAATACCGTGCGAATAGAAAAAGTACAGTATAGCTGGAAAGCAAAGCAAGAAAAATACAAATAAAAGTCGAAGAGTAATTTGCAAAGAGCAAGTTGTTCTTTTTAATGGGAAACGAGTGACTGGGTACCTATAACGATGCAGGACCAGCCAGTGGCCCACTTGTACCAAGAAGTAATGCAAAGAAGGAGGATAAGGTTCTTGGACAAGAAGCAAATATACTTTCCAATAAACACACAGCTATTTTGACATTTTTGGGGGGTTAGTAACCAAAAAAATGTGATAATTGTAAAAAGGTGGAACATTTCACAGGGTCACCGCGGTTACCAGTTTGGGCAGAATTAGGACAGCAATGTTGGGCTGTAGATTGAAGATTACAATCAACAACTACGATGTGACAATTGAGAGAACATAACAAAGAAGCGAAAGGTTAATTTTAATTGGGAAGTTGTACAAGATACGTACTCTGGTACACATTCTTAAACCCTTGTCAAAGAAAGAGTCGAAGAAGACATTCGAGAAACCAATAGAATGACTGGGTAATTCGAATATGGTAAAATAGAACCTTTTGAACTTTTCTGGAGAGAAGTAATGTGTGACGGGTAAAATATAAAATATTAATGAACATATATACTGTCGCTGATTCTTTTTCTGGGTACAATATACAAATAAATCAGCCCTTAATATTGTTTTTTATTTTATTGGCGGCGTTCATGATAAACCTAAAATGGCGCAGTTATCCGATTGAGGCGTTTTTCGATAATACTTATGACTAGTTAACACCAGTAAACACTGGGTAATTTCTTGTTATTATGATTCAAAAATCCAGCCACATTACCAACAAAAAAAGGACACGAACGATAAGAAAACACGCGAGTTTATTTGATATAATGAAATCTGCGCTAAATTTAGTATTTTTTAATGAAATGTATGGATCAACCACCTCAATATTTATCTTCCCGCGAACTGTTCTACGTACGTGCATGTTGGTCTCCTGCCTTATAGTGAAATTTCCAAAAACGGTGGGCTTGTTTGGGTGACATTTAAACGTTAACCAATCCAACAGTTTTTGACAATAATAATTCTTATTAAGAAATCATAATTTTTAATAACTAGTTTATAATAATATTTTTGTTGATATATTGCTTTACAAATATATAATAAAATATAAAGTGTTAACAATTTGTATATTCAAATTAGGCATATGTCCTTTTTTCGCATATTATATGCAACCGCATATTTGTCACATTATGCTTATCCAGCATACGGATGCATATCTAGCATGTCAGTTATAGCATTATTTAAAGTTTTTTTTTATTATTATTGCAAACAAGTATAAAATGCAAGACTTTTATTAAATTGAGTATTCATTTAAGTTAATACTAACCTATCACATGTAAAACTTTTGATATAATATTAGTTTATATTTATAGTTTAGTTAATTTATCAAATAATTAATATATAGTAAATTTGTTCAAATATTTAATTATTCAAATATATTATTGAAATTTTTATAAACTTAAATTTTTGTTTTTGTTTTTTTCATCAAGTATTAAATATAAACTTTACGTATTAAACTTTTATTATTTGTTATTGCATTAAAGATTTTTATATAAGTAAATTAATACTAGCCTAAATAATATAATTTATATAATATATAATTATTATTAATTAATAAATAAACTGTATATATATTGCTTTTTGCCTATAAAAAAAATAGATTTAAATAATATATAAATTATAAAAACTTAAGTAAGAAAAGAAAAAATAATTAATAATTAATTAATAATTAAAAATAAAAATAAAAAACTCTTTTTTTATATATAACTTTTTTTTAAAAAAAATTTTTTTATAAAAATTTTTTCAAAATTAAAGAAATAAATATTTTTTTCATAAAGACCTATAGATCTATAGTATAGTAATAATACTCCATAGGTCACCAGAAGAAGGTTTAGAGTTCAAACTCACCTGATTACAAAAATTTATTACCTTCATAATTGATTGACTAACTTTTAATATATGTTATATCCAATCAACTGAAAATTATCTATCAAATCAAACTAGGCTATATAAAGATGAAACCTTTGATCTTTCTGATAATCACAGGCTAAAAACAAATTGAAGCAAGAAAGATTGCATGAGACAAGACTTTTGATCTAATTCTGGTATAAGCTCACAACTCTAACTGAAATAGCAGACTCAGTATTACTATCCTTTCTATTCAGATTGGCTAGTTTCCTAATTTAGATTGTACTCAATCAACTAGTACTCCAAACTGGATCAGCAGATTTCAAAATTCAATTGGATCTTCACCTTCTTATTTAATGTTAACACAATCCGGATTGATGACCCAATTATAGGAAAAAGTTAGGTCATAAGTCAAAAAAGATACCACTAGGAAGATTTTTCACTGTTGGTATAGGATTTTCCTTATCTTATATTTACAAGTAGAAAGTTATAAGCATAAACCAGGATATAGATCCACTTACTTGATATAAGTTGATATTCTGATAAAAAGAATAAGTAATATAAGTTAATATTAACAATAGTTAATAGACTGTTCATATATAGATAATTGTAATTTTAATTGATTTAACAATAAAATTCATGCATGTATCGTAACTTAGTCTTTCAAAAAAATAAAATAAAATAAAAAAAAAACAAATAAATATTTTTTTTCATGTATAAAAAAAACTCTTTTTCATTGTTTTTCTATACTTAAAAATTTTCTTTTAGAAAATTTTTGAGTTGTTTACTTTTTTTTTTGTCTTCTTTTTTCTTTTCTTTTTATTTTCTCTTCCTATATCTCTTTATTTTCCTTCTTTTATTTTTTTTTTTCTTTTCTATATATTTTTTTATACTTTATATTCTCTCTTTTCTCTTTCTTCTTTTTTTTTGTCAAAGCTAAATTTTTTCTTTTTTCTAAAGATTTTTCTCTTTAGGCCTCTTTCTTTTTTGAAAACTTTGTTTTCATAATATTATTTTTCTAGCTAGTTGATTTTTTTTTCTCAAGAATTGTATTAAGAAGTAATAATTTTTCTTAGGATGTGGATTTCAAAAAAATTTTTTTTTCCATGGTCTCTTAGAAAAGAACAAATAGTTTACTCTTTCCAAAAGATCAATATAATCATTATTATCAAACTTGATATTGTTTACTGATTAGCAGTTAGACTAGATATACTTAAAAAACCTTTATATAACTATTATTACCTGAAAGTATCCAAGAAATTGTGCCCTATAGTATTCAAAGTAAAATAGTAGCCAATATCAATACAATTAACAATAAGTTAGGTTAATTGCAGGTGTCATACTGGTGATTGAAAAACTTAGTAGAGTAATATGTAACAATTAGAAATTTTAATTATCTCTAAAAATAAGCTGATGATGACAATAAAAGTTTTTGTTTATCTCTTAAACAATGTAGATCCATTATATAAAGTTAGATTCTGACACTATTAAGAAAATCAATATGAACTTTATTCATAAGACACTTTTGCCATACTTGAAGCATAAGTGTACCAAATCCTTTTTGTAACTTGAAGGCAAACCTATATAAAATGGCTATAGTACCTTTATATAAAAAGATATTCACTTCCTACTACTTCCAATATTATACCACTTACTGTACATCAAGCCTTATTTGAAAAGCAGGTGTGACAATTCTAATTATGACTTGGAGGTAACCTGTATAGATTAGCTATAGCACCTTCATCTGATTAGATATTTATTTATTTCTAAATAACTAAATGCCATTTAAGACAATAATATATATTTTTATATTTCTTGAATGATATCAAAAAAGTACAAAGGTTAGACCTATTTTGTGAGCCTTGTGTTAAACTTTTCCTAATAAAGAAAGACATATGTTATGCTATTGATATTGTATCTTGTTTTATAAATAAAAGTATAATAAATATAATAAAGCATAATAGCCATTTGCTCTTTTTAAAAAAAAAAATGTTTTTTTTATCTTTCAATATCTAAAAGTCCTTTATACTTTTTCTTTTTTCACTACAAAAGTTTCAAGAAAATCAAAAAAGTATATTAATATATTGAAATAAAATCTTTGGTTAAAAAAAAACAAGTTTAAAAATCTTGTTTTTTCTTTAAATTATATAAGAAAAAACTTGTAACAATTATTTTTTTATAAAATTTTCTTGGGATTTTATTTATTTATTTATTTTCTAATACACAAATTTTTTTAAAAAATTATTGATTTTTTGTTTGAAAAATTTTTTTTAACTTAAAAATTAAACTTTATATCAAAATTGTTTTTATTACTAATTTGAAATACTAATAATATATTCAATATTTATCTTTTACTATTTTTTAGTATACTTTCACTAGTCAAAATAGATTTATTCGGCATAATGCCACTCGTCAATCATTCGTCAAAAAAGTATATAATTCGGCTAATCAAAATTATATAACT